CATTAGTGTTACAAGGTCTCAGGTGTGAATGGGGAGCAGGTGTGTTAAATTTGGTGTTATCACTCTCACTCTCTAATACTGGTCACTGGAAGTTCAACATGGCACCTCATGGCAAAGAACTCTCTTGAGGATCTGGAAAAAAAAAAGAATTGTTGCTCTACATAAAGATGGCGTAGGCTATAAGAAGATTGCCAAGACCCTGAAACTGAGCTGCAGCATGGTGGCCAAGACCATACAGCGGTTTAACAGGACAGGTTCCACTCAGAACAGGCCTCGCCATGGTCGACCAAAGAAGTTGAGTGCACATGCTCAGCGTCATATCCAGAAGTTGTGTTTGGGAAATAGACGTATGAGTGCTGCCAGCATTTCTACAGAGGTTGAAGGGGTGGGGGATCAGCCTGCCAGTGCTCAGACTATATGCCGCACACTGCATCAAATTGGTCTGCATGGCTCTTCTTAAGATGATGCACAAGAAAGCCCGCAAACAGTTTGCTGAAGACAAGCTAAAATGTGATTGGTCTACTCACTTCTGTGAGATACTGTATATATATATATGACATAATTGGAGAGTTTTAGAATAAACTTCTTGTAAATAAATAAACTTGTTCATGTCCTTGAGAAGAGTTTAGAAAATCTTATTGTTTCTTTCTTTGCATTCAGGATTAAAATGAAAGCAATGGCAATAATGGTTTGTGCTTGATGATTTTTCTATTGTGGCTTTTACGCTAGTCAGAAGCAGTTGTATTCAGTGCATTTCTCTTTTAATTGTAATGTTTCCAATTATGTTTGAAAAACCTCTTTTGTTCACTGACCTTCCTTTTATATCAGTGCATCTTATGTTAACATTTACATTTCTATTTTTAGCAGATGTGTTCTTGTGAAATGCCAATCAAGTGTGTATATCATATACAGGTGGATCTCAATAAATTAGAATGTCGTGGAAAAGTTCATTTATTTCAGTAATTCAACTCAAATTGTAAAACTCGTGTATTAAATAAATTCAATGCACACAGACTGAAGTAGTTTAAGTCTTTGGTTCTTTTAATTGTGATGATTTTGGCTCACATTTAACAAAAACCCACCAATTCACTATCTCAACAAATTAGAATATGGTGACATGCCAATCAGCTAATCAACTCAAAACACCTGCAAAGGTTTCCTGAGCCTTCAAAATGGTCTCTCAGTTGTGTTCACTAGGCTACACAATCATGGGGAAGAATGCTGATCTGACAGTTGTTCAGAAGACAATCATTGACACCCTTCACAAGGAGCCACAAACATTCATTGCCAAAGAAGCGGGCTGTTCACAGAGTGCTGTATCCAAGCATGTTAACAAAGTTGAGTGGAAGGAAAAAGTGTGGAAGAAAAAGATGCACAACCAACCGAGAGAACCGCAGCCCTATGAGGATTGTCAAGCAAAATCGATTCAAGAATTTGAGTGAACTTCACAAGGAATGGACTGAGGCTGGGGTCAAGGCATCAAGAGCCACCACACACAGACGTGTCAAGGAATTTGGCTACAGTTGTCATATTCCTCTTGTTAAGCCACTCCTGAACCACAGACAACATCAGAGGCATCTTACCTGGGCTAAGGAGAAGAAGAACTGGACTGTTGCCCAGTGGTCCAAAGTCCTCTTTTCAGATGAGAGCAAGTTTTGTATTTCATTTGGAAACCAAGGTCCTAGAGTCTGGAGGAAGGGTGGAGAAGCTCATAGCCCAAGTTGCTTGAAGTCCAATGTTAAGTTTCCACAGTCTGTGATGATTTGGGGTGCAATGTCATCTGCTGGTGTTGGTCCATTGTGTTTTTTGAAAACCAACGTCACTGCACCCGTTTACCAAGAAATTTTGGAGCACTTCATGCTTCCTTCTGCTGAACAACTTTTTGAAGATGCTGATTTCATTTTCCAGCAGAATTTGGCACTGCCAAAAGCCCCAAAAGCTGGTTAAATGACCATGGTGTTGGTGTGCTTGACTGGCCAGCAAACTCACCAGACCTGAACCCCATAGAAAATCTATGGGGTATTGTCAAGAGGAAAATGAGAAACAAGAGACCAAAAAATGCAGATGAGCTGAAGGCCACTGTCAAAGAAACCTGGGCTTCACCTCAGCAGTGCCACAAACTGATCACCTCCATGCCACGCCAAATTGAGGCAGTAATTAAAGCAAAAAGAGCCCCTACCAAGTATTGAGTACATGTACAGTAAATGAGCATACTTTCCAGAAGCCCAACAATTCACTAAAAATGTTTTTTTTATTGGTCTTATGAAGTATTCTAATTTGTTGAGATAGTGAATTGGTGGGTTTTTGTTAAATGTGAGCCAAAATCATCACAATTAAAAGAACCAAAGACTTAAACTACTTCAGTCTGTGTGCATTGAATTTATTTAATACACAAGTTTCACAATTTGAGTTGAATTACTGAAATAAATGAACTTTTCCATGACATTCTAATTTATTGAGATGCACCTGTAAATATTGTCCTCATTTGTAAGTCGCTTTGGATAAAAGCGTCTGCTAAATGACTAAATGCAAATGTAAATAAGTAGCAATTACCAAGATAGACAGCTGAGAGAATAAGACACAGATCTCAGAAGAATCTCTCAAAAATAATTGTATGTATATTGAAGTTTTATATGCGGTTGCTATTTGGAGGTTTCCACTTCTGCGTCATTCAACCCACAGGTGGCTTACTTATAGTCTCATCACATTAAACTGAGATAGGAAAAAATATTTTAACATTAAAAAAATGAGCACCTCACCTTAAAGCAAATGTGTTGTTAGAGCAGATTACTAAACTAATACACAACCAGAATGTTGTCTTACAAATGTGTAATACATGGACGACATGCTCAGAGGATTTGTATAGGTGTGCAAAAGGGTTTCATCTGCTTGTCTCTTTTTCTCACAGTTCACTGCTCTCCCGCGTGAGCGACAGCAGGGTTTTGGTTCTGTCTCGCTCGGAGGAAGATAATCGGATAAGTAAGAAGAACAGGAAAGAATGGAGCATGAGCAAGTCTCAGGTCTTACTGGAGCGACGCTCTGACACAGACGAGGTGACCTTGTATTTATTTTCTCTGTTCATGGCTGTCAGTGAGCTGTTCACAATATGAAATGTGACCATTCTCTGATTTTAACATCTGTTTGATGTTGATTTGTGTCATTTCATAGTGAAATCGAAGGATTGAGTGGAATAAATCGTAGGAAAGAACATATTTAAAGTGGACTAATTTAATATTTGGAGATATGATTCATTTTATATGCTGTCTGTATGGTGCAGATTCCTCCAGAGAAGCAGCAGAGGCCTAAAAGTCTGACAATAGGAGACCGGAGACTCACGCTGTCACTGTTTCATGGAGAATCATCCAATTTGAGTTTACACAACCCTCTTAGCCCTCTGCCTGCCTCACCGCACACACCACGCAGCTCCAGTGAGTGCACAACCACACATCCGACACAAACCGAGATGATTGTTTTTTTCTTGACATGAGCTATGGTTTTCCTTTGCCATGGTGCATGAATATGGTAATGCTACCATTGGCTGCAGTACTTATTCTTTAAAATAAATAGTTTTCAATGTATGCTGCCATTCAAATAGTTTGAGGTCGGTTTTTGAAAGAAGTCTCTTATGCTCACCAAGGTTGTATTTATTTGATCCGAAATACAGTAAAAATAGTAAAATTGTGAAATATTATTACAATTTTAAATAATAGTTTTTTTTTTATTTGAATATTTTTTAAAATAGAATTTATTTCTATGATGCAAAGCTGAATTTTCAGCATCATTACGCCAGTCTTCAGTGTCACATGATCCTTCAGAAATCAATCTAATATGCTGATTTGCTGCTCAAGAAACATTTCTTATTATTATCCATGTTAAAAACAAGTAAGTTAAAAACACAAATAAGTTGTCGTTTAATATTTTTGCAGAAACCTACAATAAACCTTGATACAATAATTTTTTTCAGTATTCTTTGAAATATGTAGTACGTTCAAAATACAGCATTATTTGAAATATAAATTTTTTATTTAATAATTTATGCATTTAGCAGATGCTTTGACTTGACTGATGCATTCAGGCTATACATTTTTTACCAGTAAGTGTGTTCCCTGGGAATCGAACCCACAACCTTTTGCACTACGAACGCAATGCTCTACCACTAAACCACAGGAACACTACTTTTATAATATTATAAATGTCTTGGCTGTCATTTTTGAACAGATTAATGCATTCTTGCTGAATAAAAGTGTTAATTCTTTTAAAACAAAACAAAAGGAAGAAGGAAGAAGCATTTGCTTTGTGGGTTAAAATAATTTCTTTATATGAAATTCGAATGGTATGACAATTAGAGATTAGACTGTACATAATTTGAAGTCTACATGCAAATACACACATAGTCACGCCATGCTGAGGTTGTTAACATTAACAATTTAAGAATAAAGTATAACAATAATCATAATTTGCATGGTTTGATGTGATATGAGCTAATTAACTTTATTTTGTGCCGGCGCACAACCCACGCAAAGAAGATAATTCTGCAAGTAACTGCAATTGCAGGTTTTCAAACAGAGATGGCGACAAGGAGGCAAAACTTACCGACTGCAGCTTTAATATTGAATTCTATATTTTTATGAATTTTCATGAATTATTAAAAATGAAAAGTTTTTAGTTAAAACAAGTTTTAAGTCATCACCTTTATAGTGCTTTATGCAATACAGATTGTTTAAAATCATCTTTACAGTAATAAACGGTAAAACAACAGAATAAATGACGCAAACTTTATCAAATATGAGACTAATTCAAATTCTGTTGGAAAGCAGCTCTAAAAAGCCAGTAGTGTCATTATTTAGCTCAAGTCAGTTCAGTGCTGATTCAGTTCAGTTTTAAACAAATGGAAATTCCTACAAATATTTACGGATATATAAACAATAATAGAAATAAATACACAGAACATAATCATCCAGAACAGTGATTATGCCTCAGCACATCTGTATAAACATTATTAAACCTCATATTGATCATCGTCCCGTAGGTTACACGTGTCTCCCGAGTGAAAGTGACTTCAGCACACTGGACATCACAAGCACCCCTCCACCAATGCCGCCCAAAAAACACCCTCACGAGAGCGAGAGCATCTATAACTCCACCTCCGACGTAAGACCCAGCAAGCACAGTCTGCACTAGGAAAACAGTTCAAAATTAGCAGTGAATTTACACTTTCCTTTGCACTTTCATCTGTATTTTGATCTAAAATCTTTGACAAAAATATTTAGAAAGCTAAAATGCTTTTGCTCTTTTATTTCACCCGTAGTTTACGCCTCCTTTACCGACGAAAGTTGAAAACAAGCCTCCACCGCCGCCACCCAAAACACGCAAGTCCATGTTTCCCACCTATGAGAGCAATCCGCAATGATGACTCTCCGGTTCCCCTGAATCCAGATGCAGACGTCTGTGGTACCATGTCTCAAATAAGAAGTGTGAAAAATACCTCTGAACGGTACTTGTTCCTCTTTTAAAAAATTCAGAGCGGAGAGATTATTTGTCATGGTTATCTGGGAATTCTGATTAAACTTGTTTAGAATTCATTTTTGGTAGCAAACAGCAAACAACATCATTTTATCATTTGGAAATGGACCTCTTGTGTGTATTTATTCAGAACTGCTGGGCAGGAACGTGACCAAAGGTTGGTTGTTTGGTTTGTTGAATGTTAAAATCAGCCTCACATCCACTGGATTACAGTAGTTAATCTCGACCTGTATCTGTGCCTTAGAAATAGAGATATTTAAAGCTAACGAAGTTCTGTGCACATATTCACTTTGCACATTGCTCATGATTGTCAGGTTGCGCGTTCATGCAATTAAAACGTTTGTAGTTGAACCTCTTTCACCCACAGCACAGTTTGCATTACTTTCCCCCTTAAGCAAGAAAAGACTCTTGATGCGGTTGTGTTTTTTTTCCACTCTAGAGAGCTACATTTGTATAAAAAAATCCCAAACATTTAAAAAGCATGTGAACTAAATTTAATTGTAGAGAGATGCGGTATAAAAATGCAAGCTTTATGAAATGATTTAAAATGTCTAGTATTATTTTTGTCATGATTGCAAAACAGCAGATCAGTTGTGCTTGAATTCTATAATGCTCCATATTGTGTCGACACTTAAAGGAATAGTTGACTCCAAAATGAAATTTGCTGAAAATATACTCTCATTCAGGCCATCCAAGATGTAGATGAGTTTGTTCCTTCATTAGAACAGATTTAGAGAAATGTAGCATTGTCACTTGCTCACCAATGGATCCTCTGCAGTGAATGGGTGCCGTCAGAATGAGAGTCCAAACAGCTGATAAAAACATCACAATATTCCATAAAAATAATCCGCACCACTCCAGTCCATCTAATTATAAATAAAACAAATACATCAAGATATTTTAACTTAAAATTTTCCTCCAGTGAAACAGTCAGTGCCCTATTGTCTTTTCACATCAAAATCCACCCACATATTTGTTTAGAACTATTATAGACTGTATCACCTTGTAAATGGTGCTTGATCTGTGCATATTTCTCTCCTGATTCAGGCTAGATGACTTTTTCACTGGAGAAAGCGATATTATGGAATATGGATTTTTAGACGGAAGTTTTAATGATGGATTTGTTTCTTGCAAACACACAGATTTGTACTTTACAAGACATTAACTGATAGACTGGAGTGGTGTGGATTATTGTGATGTTTTTATCAGCTGTTTGGACTCTCATTCTGACGGCACCCATTCCTTGCAGAGGATCCACTGGTGAGCAAGTGATGCAATGCCACATTTCTCCAAATCTGTTCTGATGAAGAAACAAACTCTTGGATTACCTAAGAGTGAGTAAATGTTTAGCACATGTTTATCTATTATCCCTTTAAATCTCACCTAGGTACAGCGTGGTACTTTATGGATTGGTACATTTTAGTTTGGAGCAACATATATAGCTTAGTGAAACATTCTAGGAAGGTTTTAGGGCTTGCTTGTTCATTTACCTCAAGTCAAAATATCACACTTTAGTAGTACATGCACTGTATTTGTATTTGTACACTGTATTTTTTTGCTTTTTAAAAAAAAAATGTATACGGTAAAGATGTTTAGATTTTTTTTCTTTTGTGATTCAAAATTTGTCTTCATTCATCATGCTAGAATGCAACTGCAACTTTGGATGCTTTAATTTATTCATTGTCATGTTGTTGAATGCGGCGCGCCAGTAATTACACAAAGACATCAGAATAGCAGGATCATTCTTAAAAGTTCACTGGTTAAAAACTACACTGGGTCTGTCAGCATTAATGGGTTCTTATAATAAGGTAATTTTCATAAAGATTGCATAGTTTTGTACTAAAAAGAGTCTGTTTTGCAAATAGGGTAATATTTAATTGATGTGCACATGGAAAATTATTTTTTCTGCATGAAATATTTTGTACATTCTGTATTAAATCGCACAATTATCAGAACAAGTGTGATAGAAATTTCACAAAATTCCAGGGAAAACCAGAACAATGTTTTTTTAAATGGATTGTAAGTGTAAATATAGAATTTTTCTTTACATACAGCATTATTTAAACTTGAAACAGCAATTTAAATACGATTTGAATGAATGAAATAGTGTTTTTTATTTTAATTTGTTTAATTCTGAACAAAAACCAAGGGTATTCTGGCCTCTGCGGATCATTTCAACATCCAATCACTTTTTTAGTATAGTAAATGCATGTGTTTTTAAAGTAATTATTTCTATTTTTCAGTCAAAGTGGACCATTTTTGCCACCTACAGGCAGAAACCCATGAAAACCAATGGAAAACAACCAATCCTAACTGTTATTTAAGAATTTTTGCACTCCGGTTTGAATAAAAGTGCCAAAAGAAATCTTGAATCAAACCGTTTACTACTTTTTCCACTTAAGCAAGGAGGTGGGTGAGACTCGACACAGCAGCAGATCAAAGCTCTTTGCCGTCCCTCAGGCTGGAGATTACAGACTGAATAATCTCGCCTGTGAAGGTGTTGCTCTTTTTTTATTGAGTATTTTTTTGAAATGGCACACAAAGTAAAGTATCCTCTAGCCCGGCATTCGTTGCTGGAAATTGTTTATGTGGCTTTTAAATCCACATTTCCGTTTTCTTTACATTGGAATTTTGGATGCTGACAATATGATTTGCTGTTGTTCGTTTTTTTGACGCCAGACCAGAATAGAGCATAATGTATACTGTACGCGCTGTCCTCTTCTCCACAGATCTCCTGCTGGAAAGTGTTTGAACGTCATAGTCTCTGCATATGTACTGTAAAATGATTGACTGACTTTTTCCAAAATGTATTCAAAGTGCCACTCAACTATTATCAACAACAAAATTGTGGTCAGTAAAACAAAATGTATTTGAATTATAATTAATATAGCAACGTGTAAAAACTAAACGCTAAAAAATTGAAAAATACATCCAAAATACATACATTTTATGTATCAGTCAAGCTGCCTTTACACTTTACAGCTTCAACAAATGCCAAGTAAGATACTGGAAGTATCCTTCTCCTCCTCCTCCTTCTTCTTCTTCTTCTCCTTCTCCTTCTCCTTCTCCTTTTCCTTTCCCTTTTCCTTCTCCTCCTCCTTTTCCTCCTCCTTCTCCTTCTCCTTCTCCTTCTCCTCCTCCTTCTCCTTCTCCTCTTCCTCCTTCTCCTCCTCCTCCTCCTTCTCCTTCTCTTCCTCCTTCTCCTCCTCCTCCTCACCACATGCACCAACAGGATCCCTTGGGCCGTTAGAGCAGGTCAAAGGAGGCAATTCAGAATAATCTAAACAATGAAAGAAATACAATATTACACAGTTTAGAATATACTAGCAGACTACCTATATGAAGATGAAGAGCTTTAAATATCACAGTACCCGAGTCTCTGGCCTGATGTGGTCCAGAGGCAGTAAGGGCCTGGGCTTGGATGTTGTACATGGCTTCGTACATCTGTGGGCTTTCTGGCTCCATTTCATTGAGCATACCCCTAGAGATGTAAACAGTGACTGTCAGTACACTGAAAGAGATCTGATGTCTATGTCTAGTCTATTCAGAGTCTCTCTTAGAGTTTTGCACCTCCGTGGCTTCTTCTCCTCCTCCTTCTCCTTCTCCTTCTCCTCCTCCTTCTCTTCCTCCTTCTCCTCCTCCTCCTCCTTCTCCTTCTTCTGTCAGAGTTGTTTTTATTGGGCATATATGGTTTGATTTCCAGGCTCGGTCTTCTGAGGTACTTGAGTGTCTTTTGATCTTTCCTCTCTGCATCAGGAAGTGTTTTATCCGCTGGCTCCACATTTCTATATATTTATATTTACTCTATACCGTTCAACATTTGGAGGTCAGTAAGTTTTGTTTTTGTTTTGTATATATAATAGAAAAGAATATTTATTATGCATTAAATTGATCAAAAGTGCATTAGATTGATCAAAAGTTCATTAAATTGATCAATGTTGCAAAGGATTTTAAAAAATACTATTCTTTTTGAGCATTTTCATAAAAGCCTGGGAAAAAATGAAGCACCATAACTGTTTTCAACACTGATAATAATAATAAGTGTTTCTTGAGCAGCAAATCAGCATATTAGAATAATTCCTGAAGGATCATGTGACACTGAAGCCTGGAATAATGATGCTGAAAATTCAGCTTTGTGTCACAGGAATAAATTACATTTTAAAATATATTCAAATTGAAAACACTTATTTTAAATTGCAATAATATTACTACTTTAACTATATTTTTGATCAATAGACTGTATAAAGATTAGCTTCTATTTTAAATTATTTAAACACTTGAGCCACACTTAAAATATCTGAATGCCAATGCATTAGATGAAAAAATTAAATCAAAATGACCTTTATTTAAAAAAATGACACTTTTAAAGCAAAACATTTCACAGAAAGGTTTAGTTGTCTCTTGCTGTTATTTTGTTTTGTTAATGCAGTGACATTCAGACATTGAAATTGTTTCGTCTACTTTATATATCCACTGTACATTTAAAGATTCAAAGCTCCAAAATGATGCAGTGAAGTTTTTGCATCCAGTCCTCCTTCTCTTCCTCCTTCTCTTCCTCCTCCTCCTCCTTCTCCTCCTTCTGTCAGAGTTGTTTTTATTGGGCATATATGGTTTGATTTCCAGGCTCGGTCTTCTGAGGTACTTGAGTGTCTTTTGATCTTTCCTCTCTGCATCAGGAAGTGTTTTATCCGCTGGCTCCACATTTCTATATATTTATATTTACTCTATACCGTTCAACATTTGGAGGTCAGTAAGTTTTGTTTTTGTTTTGTATATATAATAGAAAAGAATATTTATTATGCATTAAATTGATCAAAAGTGCATTAGATTGATCAAAAGTTCATTAAATTGATCAATGTTGCAAAGGATTTTAAAAAATACTATTCTTTTTGAGCATTTTCATAAAAGCCTGGGAAAAAATGAAGCACCATAACTGTTTTCAACACTGATAATAATAATAAGTGTTTCTTGAGCAGCAAATCAGCATATTAGAATAATTCCTGAAGGATCATGTGACACTGAAGCCTGGAATAATGATGCTGAAAATTCAGCTTTGTGTCACAGGAATAAATTACATTTTAAAATATATTCAAATTGAAAACACTTATTTTAAATTGCAATAATATTACTACTTTAACTATATTTTTGATCAATAGACTGTATAAAGATTAGCTTCTATTTTAAATTATTTAAACACTTGAGCCACACTTAAAATATCTGAATGCCAATGCATTAGATGAAAAAATTAAATCAAAATGACCTTTATTTAAAAAAATGACACTTTTAAAGCAAAACATTTCACAGAAAGGTTTAGTTGTCTCTTGCTGTTATTTTGTTTTGTTAATGCAGTGACATTCAGACATTGAAATTGTTTCGTCTACTTTATATATCCACTGTACATTTAAAGATTCAAAGCTCCAAAATGATGCAGTGAAGTTTTTGCATCCAGTACTCATTAAAATGCTTGCTTTGGCTGTAATGAATGTAATAATTATGAACCCACTTGAAAGATAATTTCTTTATGAATGAGGAAAGCGAAACTGACCTGAGCAGAAAATATTTAATGCTCAGTACAAATTTGGAACTCTTTTACGACACAAAGCTCACTCAAGAGTACTAGTCTGGAAAAGAAACGCGGATGAAAAGCCTTCCATTAATGTTTCTATGCTTAATGAGCCTCGT